GGCAACAGCTTCACAGATTGAGGGCGGGTCGCTTTCAAAATGTGGCTCTCGCCTTAGCGTGGCGCGCATTCGCTCCCAACATTTGCAACAAGAGCTTCACGGACTGAGGGCGGGTCGTGTTCAAAATGTGGCTCTCGCTTTAGCGCCGTGCACATTTGTTTTCAAAATTTGCACAACAGAAAATCCACGGATTTAGGCCGGGTGGTTTTCAAAATGTGGCTCTCGCCGTAGCGCCGCGCACATTCCTTTCAAACAAATGCAAGAGTTTCACGGATTGAGGGCGTGCCGTTTTCGCAATGTGGTTTTCGCCTTAGCGCCGCGGGCATCCGCCCGAACAAACTGCAAGAGCTTCACGGGTTGAGGGCAGATCGTTTTCGAAATGTGGCTCTCGCCTTAGCGCAGCGCGCATTCGTTCCCAAAATTTGCAAGAGCTTCACGGATTGAGGGCGGTTCCTTTTCAACATGTGGCTCTTGCATCAGCGCCGCGTACATTCGTTGACAACATTTGAAAGAGTTTCCCGGCTTCCCATCATCAACGTACCAGAAACGGCGTGTTGGAAGGATTCTGGATTATGCGGGCGCAACAGTCACATTGATTCTCTGTGTTGTAATCCGAAAGGTGGCGTTCTGGCACGATTCCGGATTGTCAACACGCAGCAATCAGGTTGATACGTAGCGTTGAAATCCCGAGAACAATGTTTTGGCACGCTTCCGGATCTTCAAACGGTTGTCTTCCAGCGAGGCAGTTCCTTCAGTAGAAATGGACCGTTGTAGGGGCCTACGAAGAGGGAACTTGGAGGGAGGGTTCATTCCAACATAGTTGATGACTCTTGGGTTCACACTGGTCCTCATCCTCCTCCTCCTTCTCCTCCTCCTGACCATCAGCACGATCATTATCATCAGCAGCAGCATCATCATCCATATCCTAATCCTCATCCTCGTCCCCATCCTGTTCATTTTCCTCCTCTCTCTCCTCATCCGCCTCTTCCTCCTCCTTCTCCTCCTCTTCATCATCCTTATCCTCATCATCATCCTCATCCTCATCCTAATCCTCTTCCCCATCATGTTCCTGTTCCTCCGCTTGCCCCCCCTGTTCCTGCTACTACTCCTACGAATCCTCCTCCTCTTGTTCCTCGCCCCCATCTGTTAACATTAACCATATAGTGACCCTCCCTCCTCCTCCTGCTCCTCCTCCCTCCTCCGCCTCTTCCTCCTCATCCGCCTCTTCCTCCTCCTCCTCATCCTCCTCCTACTCATCCTCCTTATCCTCATCCCCATCCTCATCCTCTTCCCCATCATGTTCCTTTTCTTCCGCTTGAACTCCCTCCCTGCCCCTGCTGCTACTCATACGAATCCTCATCCTTCTCATTATCATCGCCCTCTTTCTTGAAGTCTCCATATCGTTACCCTCCCTCCTCCTCCTCCTCCTCCTCCTCCTCCTCCTCCTCCTCCTCCTCCCTCCTCCTCCCCCCTTCTCCTCCTCCTCCTCCTCCTCCTCCTCCTACTCCTCCTCCTCCACTTCCTTCTCCTCCTCCTCCTCCTCCACCTCCTCCTCCTCCTCCTTCTCCTCCTCCTCCCCTCCTCCTCATCATCATCATTATCAGCAGCAGCAGTGGCAGCATCCTCCTCAGCATCAGCGTCAGCATCATCATCAGCAGCAGCAGCATCATCAGCATCATGATCATCAGCAGCTCCAGTATCATCTGCACCATCAGAATCATCGACGGCAGCACCATCATCATCATCATCATCATCATCATCATCATCAGCATCATCATCATCATCATCATCATCATCAGCATCATCATCATCATCATCCCCAGCATCAGCATCAGCATCATCATCAGCAGCAGCATCATCATTGTCCTCATCCTCATCCTCATCCTCATCCTCATCCTCATCATCGTCCCCATCCTGTTCCTTTTCCTCTGCCCTCCCCCCCCTCCTGCTGCTATTCCTACGAATGCCTCTCCTTCTCCGCCTCTTCGCCATCTTGCTTGAACGTATCCATGTCGTGACCCTTCCTCCTCCACCCCATCCTCCTCCTCCTCATCATCATCAGCATCAGCATCAGCAGCAGCATCAGCATCAGCAGCAGCAGCATCATCATGTTCCCCATCCTCATCCCCATCCTCGCCCCCGTTCTCTTACTGTTCCTCCGCTCCCCCCCATGCTCCTGCTCCTACTCCTACGAATGCTCCCTCTTCTCCTTCTACTCGCCCACTTCCTTGGAAGTATCCATATAGTGACCCTCCCTCCTCCCCCTCCCCCTCCTCCTCCTCCTCCTTCTCCTCCTCCTCATACCCCTCCTCCTCCTATTCCGCATCCTTATCCTCATCCTCATCCTCATCCGCTTCCCCATCCTTTTCCGTGTTCCTCCGCTCCCCCCCCCCTGCCTGCTCCTGCTGCTACTCCTACGAATACTCCTCCTTCTCCTTCTTACCGCCCTCTTTCTTCACATTATCGATGGAGTGACCCTCCCTCCCTCCTCCTCCGTCTC